TGTATAAATACATAAGCAGCTTGATGGTATTAACGAGCTAGAAATAACATATTTATTTCAGAGGGCTATGTGCATATTAGTGCTGTGCCAAAAAAACAAAAAACCTCCCCCCCCCCATTCTCCATCAATTGATGAGAAAAAGATTGCATTCAAAAATTATCAAAAGCGAAGGTTGGTGAAATTCTCATGAGTGAGGTGCAGGAGGTTTAATCTGCTTACCTTTCTTTCTAGGTAGCCAAGTGATGTTTGGGATTGTCCCGTCTTTCATTCTGCAAAACATATCTCCAGTGGTCTGCACTCTTACGCCTTTCCTAGTGCCCACATTTGCACATCAGCTGGGTTTTCCTGTAAGCGCAGAAAGGTAGCCCACTGTGCAAATGATAGCTGCTTGCTGCTTTTTGTTGTCTGAAGTGAAGCCATTTTACTTTTAAACAAATTAGTATGTAAAGCCTTTTTAAAAAGTGGAGGTAAAATTACTTCCTTTAAAAATAAAACCAGCCAATATACCAAGCAAACTAAAAACAGAATTTAGCCTGGTTTAATGTAGTTTTCTGGCACATGCAACTTCCAGGGTCATATAAAATTGACATAGAGTAGTACACATTGCCTCATACAGTTTTATGTAGTAGTTTTCTACAGCAAGCCAATAAAAAGTATCCCAGGGTGGTAAAATATCACAAAACAAAGGCATGTTTGTTGAGTCAGAAGGTATGCACTTATTTGCTTCTCTGCGTTCATTTTTTGCTTGCGAAACCACAAGACATTTTATTTTTACCTGCTAGTATAACACTGACTGAGACAAAAAGACACCCGAGTGGCAAAAGTGAATAGAATTTGTAGGATGTTGTTTTGTCCCGTGTGTTTTTCATTTACAGAAATGTAAATGATGAGTCAATGAAGCAAAAGTAGATGTTTTTCTGGAAAAAGCAGAGACATCACCTTGCCGACAAAGGTACGTATTTTAAAGCTATGGTTTTCCGAGTAGTGGTGTATGGAAGTGAGAGCTGGTTGCCGAAGAATTGATGCTTTTGAATTATGGTGCTGGAGGAGACTCTTGAGAGTCCCATGGACTGCAAGATCAAACCTATCCATTCTGAAGGAAATCAGTCCTGAGTGCTCACTGGAAGGACAGATCCTGAAGCATAGGCTCCAATACTTTGGCCACCTCATGAGAAGAGAAGACTCCCTGGAAAAGACCCTGATGTTGGGAAAGATGGAGGGCACAAGGAGAAGGGGACAACAGAGGACGAGATGGTTGGACAGTGTTCTCGAAGCTACCAGCATGAGCTTGACCAAACTGCAGGAGGCAGTGAAAGACCGGAGTGCCTGGCGTGCTCTGGTCCATGGGGTCACGAAGAGTCAGACACAACTAAATGACTAAACAACAACAAATGATGAGTGTCTGGAATTTGGGGACACTGTTTACTACTGTGCAGGTGATGGGGAGAACTATGTTGGATGTGTAAATTCTAGGTAAATTTTGAACCAATTTTGGACAATAAGACCATGGTGGATCATTCTGATCTTTTCTTGGAAGAAGGTTGGAAAGAAAAACTCACACGCCATCCTTGGCCACCTCAAAGCAATGGGATAAGTTCAGCACTGCACTCACTGAAAGCCTACATTCATACTTAATTCGCCTGTGAATGATACAGGAAAACGGGACGTTCTGTTGCAGGAGAAGACTATTTTCAAGAAATTGAAGAGTAGGCCTCAGCATAGCACTAGTGAATACATATCTTGCTTTGAATCACCCTTGGATGAGGTCCAAATCTTATTCTAAATAGAACCACCTAGGACCGTGTTGCAATTCCTATATTCTGCAAGTGCAATCAGCTGAGCAACGGGGACACATTTTCTTCTTCCAAATTGGCATATAAGCCAGAAACCACGAGTGAATGAGCACATTAGGAAAGACCTCAAGCATCTGTAACTCATACTAAATGCTATCCAGTATGAGAGACTGCTTTATATAGCCATCTGTTTCCAAATAGCCACGGCATTTACAGTTCTGTTCTGAAATAGTCTATGAAACTTTTATTGGTTGGTGTGTTTTTTTAATCTATCAAATTATTGATAAAAAATAAGCTTTGATGGTGACAATAAAGGTTCCTTAAACTCAAAGATATTGTGGATGTATATAACTATCACAAATCCCATCAATGGGATTTATCTCCCACGTATAATGGATGGAGGTGAGTTTTGGGGCAGCCTTAAACCCCACCAATGTCGGTTAGACTTACAATCTGATCTTATATATTCTTCCTCATTTTAGAAGTATGTTCATGGTTGAGGGTTCACGTCCCTACCCCCCCCCCCAAAATTAGCCATTAATTAACTGTCCTTGGGTTGGGGCTGCACACATTTTATTCAGAGCTGAGGTCTTACGAGGCAAGCACTGATATAACAGAAAGCCAGGGTCAGCCCAGATGCTGTGGTATAGCAGAGCTCTGATGTTGCTTCAGCAAAGAACGGATTGAGACTTACCCCTGAATAGTAGCAGCAACAGCTTCCTAATTGTATGCAAAAGTTAGTATGGGGTGGCATTTTTTGTTTGTGCAAATTTCTCCTAATACACACATTTCTGTGATAATAAAAAAGCCTAATATACACAATTCTGCAAAGCAATTTTTTTTCCAACAATGCATTTGTGTAGGCCCTTTTCCACTAATTTATGCATTTTATGCACATTTTGCTCCAGTGCATGTCTTTTTGTACACGTTACTTAGCTAGAGAACTTCACTGCAAAATTCAGAGTGGTGCAAAGTTTGAAGTATGGCATTTCGGTTCACATGTTGTTTCAGAAAGTACCAATTAGCCAAGTTCACCTTTAAATGGGAATTGAATTGAATGTTTCCCCCATCCCTACTCTACACATGAGGAAACATGGGCTTTAAATTACAGAACATTTGTGATTCAAGGTCTGGCATTTTGGACTAGCGAGGACTCATTTCTCAGTCTGCTCCAGGCAGGCGGCACTGAATAGGCAGCTGTGGAATAATTCACTCAGGAACATGTGATTTGCAGGTAGTGCCAATTTAACAAAGCTGTTGGAAAGATGGGCCATCTGGCTGCGTTTGTGAGAGCAGGATGAAGCCTTCCCTAAAAACTATTAACTGTAATTTAAATGCAATCAAAAGAAAAGAAAGGATTTCCGTGTGTATAAAAAAAGGTGACGGGTTTTTGATCTTAAATCCATGGACAAACGTAAGAACACTGAGCCATTAATGTAAATGAAAACAACATCCAAATCTGTACTAAAGAGATGCATGCCCAGTTTCAAATCTTTTTTCTCCTGTTTCCAGTGATGTGAAATAAGAGGACACAGAGGGAGATGGAAGTCTTTAACAGGTAAGTGTTTTGCAGTTTCATAGAGGAGGTTTACTCAAAGTGGTTCGGTTATTCACAGATGTTGGTGATTATCTCCAATGTTCTTTCTGCACAGGATCTAACAGTGAAATAATAATCAAGGCTGGCAGTGTACAAACAGAAATACAAGAAAAAATCCATATTCAGAAATCGGAGTTATGGTTTTGTATACTTTTGTGAATTGCTTATGGCTCCAATGGTAAGTTGGTCTTGCCCCTGCACCCAAAATAATCTTCAGATGTGTATTCTCTGAAGCAGGTTTCCTCCAGATGCCCTCTGGTTGTGCAAATATTCAGAAGACAATTGATGTTCTTCTTCAGCCATTGGTAGCATCTGACAGCTAGAATGCAAGAGCTGTAATATTTTCACTGATTTACAATAATTTGTAGAACAGGGATGGAAGGAAGAAGGCTCCACAGAAGTTGTTGGGCTCCAACTCCCATCATCCCTGACAATTGGTCGTACTAAGGCTGATAGGAGATGGAGTCCAGCAACATTATGAGGACTGCAGCTTCCCCTGATTTAGAAAATGTTGCATATGATTCATTTAACCAATTAGGAAAGGTGCTTTGAATATATTCACACAAATGTTGACTGCTGGCACCAGAAAGAATTCTGAAAGGCAGATGTGAAATTTTGCAATCCAGATGGATTTTAAAAATTGAACGATGGAGCCTCTTGCCAACTTGAGCTTTTTTTTTGGGGGGGGGAGATGTGATGAGTTCAGTCTGTGATGGTCTAGGAGTTCTTGGGGGCACAGTCCTCCAGCAACTGCAGCTCTAAAGAAGAGTTGGATCCCTGCCCTGTGTGGGCCCATCGTCACTGAAGCCCACCTCCTTCTCTTGCTCCCCAAGAAAACTGCTTCCAGTACTCACATTGCAAAACTCCAGTATCTAAGCCCACTATAAACCTCCAGGACCTTGCTGAGGCATCTTAGATGTTCCATCTGAGCTGCAGGTGAACTATCCATGGTCCGAACCCATATACTAATCTCTCTACATCGTTCTACCTTTTTGCCTTGCCTTCTCTAGCCTCAGAGACCATCACCTCTGCTTGGCCTCTGGGTGGATCATGACATAGAGGAGGCATAAGGCATCAGCAATAGGACCTGTCAGGGTATTATTATATGCCAAAGCATGCCAGGTGCTCATGCTGTTGCTGTATGGAAGAAAGACAGAATATAATAAAGCAGGATAGGTGCTATGCATTAATAAAATACACAGATCTGCTCACAGGATAAGATACAGTGGTACCTCGGGTTAAGAACTTAATTAGTTCCGGACGTCCGTTCTTAACCTGAAGCACCACTTTAGCTAATGGGGCCTCCTGCTGCCACCCCGCCGCCAGAGCACAATTTCTGTTCTCATCCTGAAGCAAAGTTCTTAACCTGAGGTACTATTTCTGGGTTAGTGGAGTCTGTAACCTGAAGCGTCTGTAACCTGAAGTGTCTGTAACCCGAGGTACCACTGTATTAGAGAAGGAGGAGGAGAAGAAGAAGAAGAAGAAGAAGAAGAAGAAGAAGAAGAAGAAGAAGAAGAAGCAGCAGCAGCAGCAGCAGCAGCAGCAGCAGCAGCTAGGCATTAGAGCCAAAGTCTGCTTTCTGCAGGAAATGGCAGCAAACAAATTGGGAAGGACATAGCTCAGCAGCAGAACAGCTGCCTTGCACGCAGAAGGTCTCAGGTTCATTCCCTGGTATATCCAAGCAGGGCTGGAAAATTCTCCCACCTGAAACCCTGGAATGCCTCTGCCAGTCAATGTTGAGCCAGCTGCACCAGTGGTCTCAGTTGGTATAAGACAGCTTCCTATGTTACTTATGTAGCAGGTGCAAAGAGGTAAGCTCTGTGGATTTGGAGATAAAGTCCAAAAAGCTCAATTTTCACACCAGAAATGCTCATCCCCAAACACCCAGTGTAAGTCTCATAAAAACATGAGATAAAAGTAGACAGACCTTGGAGAAAGGTGAGACCACAAGCATTACAGAAAGAAAGAAAGAAAGAAAGAAAGAAAGAAAGAAAGAAAGAAAGAAAGAAAGAAAGAAAGAAAGATCCCTACACAATGATGAAGCTTAGAGTAACAGAAAAAGAAACCAACAGAAAAAGAAACCAACGTTAGCAAGAGGGAAATGCAAGAGATGGTTTTTAAAAAATATTTTGTTCTGAAAGAAGGTTGAAGCTAGCCAAATATGCAAAGGCCGGGAGTTCCACAAAGAAAAGGCTATGAGAGAGAAAACACACACACAGGACATAGTGAAAGGCAGAGAAGGTTTCATATTTGATTAATGGAATGATGGAGAAGAACAGGAAGAGAGCGAATGAAATAGATGGGAAGGGGCAAGCCCAGAAAGGATTTCAAATAGTATCTCAAGTTTAATCTTAATATGGGGCAATAGAAGAAGCCAATGAGGATAAAAACACAGATGGGCAAGTCATAGGAACCTGATGAACTTCTGATTGGCCACTGTGGGAGGCAGGAACACAGGAAGCTGCTTTATATGGAGTCAATCCAATAATAATAATAATAATAATAATAATAATAATAATAATAATAATTTTTTTTTATACCCCACCCATCTGGCTGGGCTTCCCCTGCCACTCTGGGTGGCTCCCAACAGAATATTAAAAACACAATAAAACATCGAACGTTAAAAACTTCCCTAAACAGGGCTGCCTGCAGATCTCCTCTAAAAGTCAGATAGTTGTTTATTTCCTTGACATCTGATGGGAGGGCGTTCCACAGGGCAGGCGCCACTACTGAGAAGGCCCTCTGCCTGGTTCCCTGTAACCTCACTTATCACAGTGAGGGAACTGCCAGAAGGCCCTCGGCACTGGACCTCAGTGTCCAGGCTGAATGATGGGGGTGGAGACGCTCCTTCAGGTATACTGGGCCGAGGCCATTTAGGGCTTTAAAGGTCAGTACCAACACTTTGAATTGTGCTTGGAAACATACTGGGAGCCAATGTGGGTCTTTCAGGACCAGTGCTATATGGTCTGGGTGGCCATTCCCAGTCACCATTCTAGCTGCCACATTCTGGACCAATTGTAGTTTCTGGGTCACCTTCACAGGTTAGCCCCACATAGAGCGCATTGTGGTAGTCCAATCCTATATCAACCTGTGCCCATTCACCTGCATGCAAGCCCCATTGAATTCATAGGTCCTTACTTCTGAGTAGACACATATAGGATTGTGCTGTTAATCTGTGAAACCACATTCTCCGCTAACCTAAAATAACTTTCCTCTTGGTGCTACAGTGTCAATTCCCCCACATTTCCCTTGTCCAGAAAAAGCAGTTATCTTTCAATAAAAGAAAATTGGATTAATCTAGCATGATTGACACACTGTGAACATATTCTGTATTGCGTCTTATTTGCACATACCATTCATATCTTTAATTATCCTTTCCTTTAATATTTGCACGGTCTTAGTAGTCTATTTGTGTTAAGCCAGCGTGTATAGTGTATTGGGCTGCTTTAATTTTCCTACCTATAGATATAATAATAGCTGCTGGAGCCAAGGGAGGAAAAAATACTTCTATACAGCTGACATTTCCTGTGCCCATCTCCTTTAGTACCCTGTGATGCAGAGATAGGATCCAACTCCACTTCTGATCATGAAGAATCCATTTTAAATGGAACCGTGAATGAAATTTGGTGGTTTCTCAACCAAATAATCATGCTAGGGTCATGAGTGCATGTATCTTCTACCACCAGGAATGAACTAGACCATTGTCCTAGTTCAATACAGAGCTGAAGCATAACTTGAGACCCACCTTGCTGAATTCACCCCGTTTTTTGTCATTTTAGGCAAACAACAGAGTAGGGGGTGATTTGCCCCAGTGGTTTCCCATTATTTTTGTTTGCTCTGATTCTTTGAACAGACCTGAGATACAGACCTTTGAACAGACCTGAGAAGGATAGACAAATCCCACTTTTAAGCACTTTTAAATCTCATTGATTTTAGTAGGGGGGATTTAAGCATAATACATAACTGTCTTTCTTTCTTTCTTTCTTTCTTTCTTTCTTTCTTTCTTTCTTTCTTTCTTTTATTATTAAAGATTCCTTAGTTTACAAAAGTATGTGCAATGTCTCTTTTCCCAAATTGCATTTTCTACAGGTCAGTTTCATTTGTTGAGACTTTAGTGTTACATTACGAAGAAAAAATGGGGGAAGAGGTGAAGGGGACCATGGTGGGTGGGGGTGGGGTCTGGTGGCGATGTTTCTATTTTACTTAATGTATGTGTAGGGTTTTGTGTCAGCGTCGTTTGTGTAGGTTCTCTTTGCTATTCACTTGTGTTCCTTCGTTGGTGAGTAAGCATGGACCAATGGTACCAAATAGTATGGGAAACAGCCCTACTGGAAAAATTAACCAATAAACTGAAACTGACACGGGGACAAATAGAAGATGCCTTCACCCCAATATTGCTCCCCTTTATCACACACACAGCCCAACAAGATAACAACAAGAATGCACCAAAAGCGTACAAATCAATATGGCTAACCTGATTCAGTACAGACATCACCTTGCCAACAAAGGTCTGTATAGTTAAAGCTATGGTTTTCCCAGTAGTGATGTATGGAAGTGAAAGCTGGACCATAAAGAAGGCTGATCACCAAAGAATTGATGCTTTTGAATTATGGTGCTGGAGGAGACTCTTGAGAGTCCCATGGACTGCAAGAAGATCAACCCTCTCCATTCTTAAGGAAATCAGCCCTGAGTGCTCACTGGAAGGACAGATCGTAAAGCTGAGGCTCCAATACTTTGGCCACCTCATGAGAAGAGAAGACTCCCTGGAAAAGACCCTGATGTTGGGAAAGATGGAGGGCACAAGGAGAAGGGGACAACAGAGGAAAAGATGGTTGGATAATGTTCTCGAAGCTACCAGCATGAGTTTGACCAAACTGCGGGAGGCAGTGGAAGACAGGAGTGCCTGGCGTGCTCTGGTCCGTGGGGTCACGAAGAGTCGGACACGACTAAACAACTAAACAACAACAACAACAACCTGATTCAAAACACCCACACCACTCACTCATGAAAACAAAGTTCACCACAGCCAATCACATAACTGTCTTTCTGAAATGAAGGCAAGCACATGCTGAAATCCCTCTTAAAAGCATAAGAAGAGTACTTCTGGTTCAGGCCAAAGGCAAATTGAGTCCAGCATCTTGATCAATCAAACACCAATGGGAAGCCAGAGAGCGTCCCTTGAAGACAATAGCACTCGCTTCTCCTGCGGTTTCCAGTCGCTGGGATTGAGAAGCAGACTGCCTCTGACTTTGGAGGTAGAACAAAACCATCAGGGTAAGCAACCTCCATGAATTTTTCAAACCCTCTTTTAAAGCCATGCAAACTGGTGACCATTATCACGCCTTGCGGGAGTGAATGCCATGTGGTGTGAAGCTGTACCTCCTTTTGTCTGTCCTAAATCTTCCAACATTTGGCTTTGTTGGATGGCCCAGTTCTACTTGCTCCACACTGTGCATAAACTTATAAGCCATGAATGAATGGGGGTTTGATGGGTCACATGTTGTGCCAGAAAACAAACAAACCAAAGTATGGCTGCTTTTTTATACATACATAATGCTTAACAGCCAAAGGAATACCTGGGGGATCCTAGTCCATAATATTTCCTACACTGAGCACAAGATGTACTAAATGACTTACAAGTTGTTCCACAGGGCTTCCAATTCTATAGTACTATGATTTATGTACAGAGAAGTGCATGGTTCTTTGCAATTTACAGACAAGCTGTTTCGCCTTGCCTTGTACCGAATGAATTTGCCAAGCAAATGAATGGTGTCTCAAGGAAAGGGAATTAAAGAAGAATCATAGTGTATTCATTCCCATTCTGCGCATTGCACCGAGGGGTTGCTTCGTCTTTGATTTTTTTGAAAAAAGGAAATCACCAAGAGATATGAAAAAACAAAAAAACCAGGTAACTCATGCATAATAAGTACCATTACATCATTATTTTGGACATTGGATGGGTGCATTAAATATGCATCTGGTTCTTTACCATATGCTGCAGGTAAGGCAGATGTTATGTGGAACACTTGCAGACAAACATGACAATAGCAGCTTACTTGTGTCTACAGTAATTGAGGAACGGAGAGAAAAACATGTCCCTTTCCATGAACGGGGCAAGGGATGCATTTCTGGAAGCCTGAACATATGGCATTGTATACAGCTAAGGCCCCATCTAGTATACTTTTAAAGCAGTATCATGCCTCTTTGAACGGCCAGGGCTTCTGGGAACTTTAGCTTGTTAAGGGAGCTGACATAACTCTCACAGAGCTACAATTCCCAGACCACACTTAACTAGCTACAGTTCTCAGGATATTGGGGGGAGGGAGCCTTGATTGTCTAAGTTGTACGGAGTGGGTGTGGCCTACAGAAATTTGCCCTAGAAATTGAAGACCTACCATTTGTTAAGAGTGCTGAGAGTTGTTAGGAGACCCTGTTCCCCTGCCCAGAGCTACGATTCCCAGAGTTATTTAATCAATCCTTCCCGGGGAACTTGCGGAATTGGTGTCTTAACAACTCTCAGCACTCTTAAGATTCCATACTATCTATGTCTTTGTGGTTTCTCCTGAATGCAAGATTTATGCTGCTGTTTACGTTGTTGTTGCTGCTGCTGCTGCTGCTGCTGCTGCTGCTGCTGCTGCTGCTGTTGCTGCTGCTGCTGCTGCTCCTGTTGTTTTATTTAAAGGGAGAAATATATTTCAAAGCTGATATGAGGTATGGTTAATGCTGGTGATCTTGAGAAAAACCACATTTTTATTGTCTAATAACTAAGATGAATTTGTCACAAATAAGAGTGACCTGATTCGTGATTACTGCATGAAAGCTGAGGAAAATAGTTGCCAAGGTTTAATATGGTGAATTGTAGAGATGTTATATTGTAATATATGACTTATTGATCACTGTTCGTTTCTTTCATTCTGCAGGGAAAGCATATTTATAGCTTTTAATTCTATGACTTCCAGAGATAATCCCTCTATGTATACACCAGGGTTAGTCATTGTGGTTTCCTCCAGGTTTTGCTGGATTGCAACTCCCATCATCCCTGACCATTGGCCATGCTGGCTGGGGCTGATGGGAGATGGAGTCCAACAGCTGGAGAGCACCATGTTGGTACCCCTGCTCTTTAGCTATAGAGTTGTTTTATTTCAGGCATTGTTGATAATGTGTTTTCATCTTGTTTTGTTGATATGTGTGTTGCAATGACCATTACCATTGAAATGATAAATGTTCCTACAATTTCAAAAACAAGGTTGCCTTCCTTCTGATCAGTGGTACTTGAGGGGCCTCAAAAATGTGATGGAAATCCAAAAGTGGGTTTTCTAAGAGGACTGTCAACTAGTGAAAGACAAAGTGTTGGTGCTGACCTTTAAAGCACTAAACAGCCTCGGCCCAGTATACCTGAAGGAGCGTCTCCACCCCCATTGTTCAGCCTGGACACTGAAGTCCAGCACCAAGGGCCTTCAGGTGGTTCCCTCACTGTGAGAAGTGAGGTTACAGGGAAGCAGGCAGAGGGCCTTCTTGGTAGTGGCACCTGCCCTGTGGAACGCCCTCCCATCAGATGTCAAGGAAATAAACAACTATCTGACTTTTAGAAGAAATTTGAAGACAGCCCTGTTTAGGGAAGTTTTAAATGTTTGATGTTTTATTGTGTTTTTAATATTCTGTTGGGAGCCGCCCAGAGTGGCAGGGGAAACCCAGCCAGATGGGCGGGATATAATTTTTGTTGTTGTTGTTTAGTCAAGAGTGTCTGACTCTTCGTGACCCCATGGACCAGAGCATGTCTTCCACTGCCTCCCGCAGTTTGGTCAAACTCATGCTGGTAGCTTTGACAACACTGTCCAACCATCTCATCCTCTATCGTCCCCTTCTCCTTGTGCCCTCTATCTTTCCTAACATCAGGGTCTTTTCCAGGGAGTCTTCTCTTCTCATGAGGTGGCCAAAGTATTGGAGCCTCAGATTCACGATCTGTCCTTCCAGTGAGCACTCAGGGTTTATTCCCTTAAGAATGGATAGGTTTGATCTTCTTGCAGTCCATGGGACTTTCAAGGTTCCTGGAGCAGGAACCGGCAAGCCACTCCAGTATCCCTGCCAAGAAAACTCCATGGACAAAGACAACGGGGCAGGATATAAATATATTATTATTATTATTATTATTCATGAAGCTGAAAGTTGAAAGATTCAGGGCAGATAAAAGAAAGTGTTTCGTCACACAGTCAAATTATTGAACCTGCTCCCCCAGGAGGCAGGTGGCCACCAACGTGAATAGCTTTAAAAGAGGATGACATGGAGGACAAGGCTATAGAAGGCAACTAGCCCCAAAGCCTATGTTCTACCATCACTACCAGAGGCACCATGCCTCCGAATACCAGTTGCTGAGAATCACATGTATGCACTCATGTCCAGCTTGCAGACTCCCCACAAGCATCTGGTAGGCCACTGGGAGAACAGGATGCTGGACTAGATGGGTCATCAGCCTGATCCAGCAGCCTGTTCTTATATTCTGGTATCTGCTTAAATGCCTGCATCTAGCCCAATCCTGATCTTAGCAGCTTAGAGGTCCTATTTACAGTTCAGCGGCACAGAAATGTTGTTCAATGCATAAACTTATATGGCAGGAATGTTGCAAAGTAAGATTGCAAAGCCTTTGCTGAAAGGCCTCCCATGAAGAGCAGTCCACCACCTCCCGTGAGAGAGCCAGTGTGGTGTAGTGGTTAAGAGCAGTGGACTTGTAATCTGGTGAACCGGGTTTGATTCCCTGCTCCTCCACATGCAGCTGCTGGGTGACCTTGGGCTAGTCACACTTCTCTGAAGTCTCTCAGCCTCACTCACCTCACAGAGTGTTTGTTGTGGGGGAGGAAGGAAAAGGAGATTGTTAGCCGCTTTGAGACTCCTTAGGGATATCAAATCCAAACTCCTCCTCTTCTCCTTCTTCTTCTTCTTCTTCTTCTTCTTCTTCTTCTTCTTCTTCTTCCCGGACCAGCCTGTTCCACTCTCAAGCAGCTCTGACCACTATGAAGTTTCTTCTAAGGTCGCCACCAGCTGAGGATAGAATCATAGAATTGTAGAGTCAGGGGGGACCACAAGTCCAACCTCCTGCAATGTAGGTATCTTTTGCCCATCATGGGGCTCGAACCTACAGCCCCGAGATTAAGAGTCTTGTGCTCTACTGACTGAGCTGTGTTGCAGGACGATATTATTTCCATACAGGTTGTGATACCCTAACTTGGGTGGCTGAGAGAGACAGCAAGATTACGCTCTGGAAAGGAATACGGGCTAGGAGCTGTTGCCAGCATGATGCACAGGAAGTGCTAAAGCCTTGCAAATGGGAGAATAATTACACGGGGAGTAATTAGAATGTTTAGATGAAACACAGAAGCCAAATCGTTGCCCTGGGATTAGAACCGGATGTAATTACTTTGGGGGGGAAACCACAGAGGGTGGCAACATCCGCAGCAACATTTCCTTGCAAACTTTCTGAGATGGAGCTTATTTTTAATTCGAGAATGGAGGTTGCAGAGAAAATAATGAGCGACTTTTACTGCCGAGGAAGAATGGTTACGATAAAAATAGGTTGATCTAAGGGAAACAGCTGCAATACGCTCATTGCCATTGCTTAAAGAGAAAAGGGATAATAATGCAAAGTGCTGGCAATGTAACATTCTGCCGCCTGCCACTTTAATCATCACAGCAGGAAATCAAACAAGGAAATTTAATGAACCAGAGTTGGAAGAGAAATTCCTTAATATTTGGGAGAGAGAGAAAGATGGGTGATTCTGTGAAGACGGCTCGTCAGTTACAAAAATGTCTCTTGACTTGAGTGAATCATATAGAAGCGTATATTAAGGAAATTTATGCAAACAGTAATTATGTAAATACGAGGGCAATTTCAAATATATTACTTCCTTGCACTGTTCAACCTATTGCCGTAGAACTTAAAAGTGGATTTATTCAGGGATGGTTCCATTTCACGCCTTCTGTTTTATTTCTGTGTGTTTCAGTTGAGAGAAAACCAACTGACAATGAAGGAAAGTGCACACACACTAGAAATATATATCTGTTGCACTGATTTTGCAATATTTTCCGCTCATGTATCATACATGCAGAAATTGTCCTAATATAACATTGGTATCAATGTCAACCTAAGCGCTACATGACCTGCAATCAAGTTCTTCACTGTCAGAGTATTTTAGGACATACATTACAGGCATTGTCAGAAAACATAGACATTGTCACAGGTTTCTAGGAACATTAATATGGTTTGAGGAACTTCAGATCCTGTGCATCTCATCTCAGCTATGCATATAAACTCAACAGCGGGACTTACTCCCTGGAAACTGTTATTTGATTGACTGATATCGCACTGTTCCTTCCAAAAGAGCCCAGGGCTGCAAAGAAGGTAAAACAATAACAATAAAATTAAAACATGAAAACAATTCAAAAATATTTAACACTTTAAAAATATAAACACCACCCAAAAACATCTAATGACATTAATAGCTGAAAATAAAAATGATTACATACTCTCACAGCTAATAATTTCAAGGTTGCCAGGAACAATATATTGCAACCATAAAATGCCAGGGGAAACAGGAATATAATAATACTGGGTGGAGAGATTGTGACAGGCCCAAGGTCACCTAGAGAGTTTCATGACTGAGTGGGGATTTGAACCCTAGTCTTCCAAGTCCTAGTCCAGCGTTCAAACCACCACACTGGCTCTCTAAGTTGTCTGTTCAGATGCTAAGTATAACCTCTACGTTCCTAAACTTCCACTCTTTCCCCATTCATTCGTTCATTAACTATCCTTGAAGCCATCATTAAACTATACCAAACTCTGTGTTGATTGTGCATCGAGGAGGCTTTCGAATCATGCCAAAATAAAGAAGAAAAAAGGAAAACAACCTCTCCAAAAAACAAACAAGAGAAGAAGTCATTGATATTTTGTTTCCAATTAATTTTTAATTATGGCTGACACCTCGGGCCAAAACAATTTCACCTTCCCCTCCCCACCTTTACGAATACCTTTCGCCTGTGTCATCTTCAGAAGCGCTTCAACACTGGCTGCTTATTTGCATAGACAAATTAGAAGCCAGCAGAGCTCCGGGCAGCTTCAAAATGACACTTGTAAATACCTCTGGGAGATAGTTAGCATTATTCCGAGCTTTCCTTTCCTCAAGAAGAACCAGACATTTCAAAGAATCAAGTGCAAATAGGAGAGCAAGTCTGACAAATAAGGTCAAAATACACTACAGAAATGCTCTTTTGTGGGGGCCACGCGTACACAGATCAGCATGCAAATGAAAAACACAGGAATCTGCATTGGTCTGCACTCCCTGACAGATATATCTCCAGAGTTTCAAGCAGGGACTCCAAGCATTGAAACTGGCACCTTGTGTGACTTTGCATATCTATTTCACACATAGATGTTCATCACTTGTTGTCAAGGGGTTACTTGCATGGATGAAGCAGCCATGCCAGATTAATCCCTTCATGTCAGTTGGCGCCCAATACTTTTAAATGGAGACACACTTCGCTAAGAGTCATAAATGAAGAAGATGGGGGATAGGCTTGTGTGAATGAGACCAACATTTCTTTTGCTAAACCTTCAGGTTTTAGCCTCACCATCAGGAAGCTGGGGCAACTCCCCTGTGATAAAAGGCAACAGAGGCCAAATTCACACATACATTTAAAGCACTGTGATACCCCTTTAAACCGGTGCTATTTTTTCTAGAAAAAGAGGTGTCCGAACTCACCATGAATGCCTCCCTTGTTCTCTTAGAATGGCAGTTGAGTTCCAGCAAGTTCCAACTGAATAAAATCCCTGCTTTAAACAGGCATGGCTTCCCCAAAGGATTCTGGGAGCTGCAATTGGTTAAGGGTGCTGAGAGTTGTTCAGAGAGCCTTATTCCCCTCATGGAACTACAATTCCCAGAGTGGTTGAACAATCCATCCCTCTTCACTGGGAACTCTGGAAATCGTAACTATGGGGGAGGACTAGTGTAGTGATCAAACTGTTGGATGAAGACCTGGGAGACCGAAGTTCTAATCCCCACAAAGCTCGCTGGGTGTCCTCAGGCCAGTCACTCACTCTCAGCCCAACCTATTTCACAGCATTATTGTGGGTATAAAATGAGGAGAAGGAGAACCACGTATACCACCTTTTTGCTCCTCGGAGGAAATGGTGAGAAATAAATCTAATACTCAGACTAGTAAACTGACTAGTAAACTCAGAGGAAACTCAAAGCAAAAATTTGTGGGAAAATGGGATGGTTATAGAAGATATGTTCAAAAATACAATAATAGTTTTGACTCCGTGCTAGCATTTGAGTGATAAAGGAACTAAAAGGAGGTGGACAACAATTTAGGATTTATTATGTTTTCAGAATGTATTAGAAAAATTATATAGAAAGGTTTATTGTTTTGTGTACATTCAAATGTAAGATAAAACATATGCAAAGGGACTTGACAGGAAGTCAAAGTTGAAGAAAAGATTTTGGAAGATAAAAGGGAAAAAAATATTTACTTTCATTATTATCATTTTCTGTGCAGGTGTGGGTATGTGGGTGTCTGCACATATGTGTATTGTTGTATGCAATGTTTGGGAGGAAATAAGACGGTAAATAACAAATAATAACAAACTAAATATTGATGTATGCAATTTTTATTTTTTAATTATATTTAGTGGTAGTATGGCTGTATTGTTTTTTGTAACATAAAACCATTCAATAAAAATTATTTTAAAAAGAGAGAAATAAATGTAATAAAGAACCATGAATGACCTGGGAAAAGAAAAGCGTGGACTCATTTCCAAATGAGTACAAATGCTTCCCTATCTTGCTATCTGTAGGGATTCCTTATTGGCCACATGGGGACCGGCACCCAACTATTTGCAAGCCTACTGTAAGGAGTGAGTGTCCAGAAAGAGCAGCTGCAGCTCTGAGCTGGTGAAGAGGAAGAGAATGTGAGCCAAGAGGAAAGCAGCACCATAAATATGTCATCGCTGTTGGCCAAGCCATGTCACTTGTTCATCTCGGCTCACATTTCTTTTCATTGTTTTCCAAGGCCATTTCATCACTTGACTGGACACCTGAAATTACCTAATGGATTGATTCTCCCCCATTTCTACAGGGTTTTTTGGCTCATCCAAATCCTGGGCACTTCATCATACAGAGCACTTGGAGAAAATTAAAACAGCACCGGGTTGCAATTTTTAATTGCAAGCCTGACGCCGTTGAGCAAATAACGCTGGATTGTCTTGGAATTTATTGGCAAGCAGCTTGTTTGTTGGAGTCTGATCTCTGATTAACAGTTCACTTTGGCTCTGCTCAGCATTCAGATGGGGTCATTCCGCTCAGATGGAAAGTGCCTCGAAAGCTTTTTGAAAACCCTTTGCTTCCTTGGCAAAGGCCATCCTGCTTGCCAAGCTCATTACAGCCTAAGCAGAAATAGCATCCTGATCACCAAACTAATTTCACCCAGTACATTTTGTGGGGACCTGCTCAATGTTATTATTTTTTTATCACCATTTCTGGATTCAGTCATAGATTGAATGCATTTCTTGAGAAGCCTTTGTTTTAATCATGTTTTGCAGAAATGTTATATACCGTATTTTTCGCTCTATAAGACGCACCTAGTTTTTGGAGGAGGAAAACAAGAAAAAAAACATTCTGAGTCTCAGAAGCCAGAACAACAAGAGGGATCGCTGCGCAGTGAAAGCAGCGATCCCTCTTGCTGTTCTGGTTTCTGGGATAGCTGCGCAGCCTGCATTCGCTCCATAAGACGCATACACATTTCCGCTTACTTTTTAAGAGGGAAAAAGTGAGTCTTATAAAGCAAAAAATACGGTATATTGGATCATTGCTTTAAAAAACTTTTTCTTCTTACTTTGAAGAGAGGGAGAGGGAGAGAGAGAGGTCTAAGGTTAGTGAATGCTGCTCTAATGTATACTGGGCCCAGTTAAGTTAAAGCCATCATCCTGAATTGGGCTTCCGAAAGAGAACATGTCAATGTACACACATTAATCATGTTCTACCAATGACAAATTCCTGGTAGAAAGCAGGTCAGAATATTCTGCACCAGCTGAAGCTGACAAACAGTTTTCAGGGGCAGCCTCGCATACAATGTATTGCACTAATCCAGCCTTGTGCTAACAGAGACACAAGTAACAGACTACACGTTTAAAACAAGGTAGCTGTTTCCTACTTAAACACTTGCGCTTTCTCACTTTTCACAGTTATTCACGAAACAAAAGGCATGGGGTGTTGGTGGCTGCCAAACCCTGAGAAATGGAACTAGAAAAGCCACCAAGAGATTTCACAGCAAAACCAGAGCCTTGAAAGAAAGTTATTTTACACTTGGACATTTCTCCAGAGAAAGCTAGCGAAGCTCTCATGGTGGACAACTGCACTTTATTTGCTGAAATGTCACAAAGCATTGCTGCGGTGATTCTCTCTTCTCCGCTAAAACATTGCAAAAGGCCACAGCCCTGTAGGTTTTGATATGTCTGCAGCTGAAGACTATTATCTGAAAAACATGCCTTCTGGAACAGGGGGTCGTAGTCTCCTGCTGTGTGGGGATGCACTCTGGCTCTGAGCAGTGAAGATAAAGGAGGCTTCTTCTTTTCAAGCAAAGTAGCCTTGGGATTCATAAACCTGTAAGGAAGGTCAGGAAGTGGCAGGTGTATTTGCTTTGTTTGTTTGCTTGCTTTTGTTTTAAGCCCATCACTTCTTAGAACTATCCTATGTCCTTCCAATATTCTGTTCTGATTGACAGCAAAGTGGGGGCTGGGGAGAAAGGTAAACTGTGATGATGTCTTTGGGTGAGCCCACATTAGACCAGCTCAGAAACTCAGAACCTACTAAAAGCAGCCCTCCTGAACCTAGAACTCTCCAGATATTTTAGAATACAATTCTTCTGGGAGCTGTGGAGGACGACACCAGGTTGGCAAAGGCTGCACTCAGAGCACAAGGAAGCATATCGTTAAATTGTGTAGCTCACTCCCACAGAACGCAGTGATGACCAACAACTTGGATGGCTTCAAAAGATGGCGGGACGGAATCGTGGAGGATAAAGCTGTCAATGGCTACTGGGCATGATGGCTTTGGTCTCCCTTCACTGTTGAATAACAGTCGCTGGAAACTGCAGAAAAGGCAACTGCTATTGTACTCAGGACCTGCTTGTAAGCTTCTCATGGGTTTCTGGTTGGCCATTGTGTGAACGGGATGTTGGACTTGATGCATTGGCTTGATCCAACAACTACCAGACTTTTAGAAGACATCTGAAGGCAGCCCTGTTTAGGGAAGCTTTTAATGTTTGATGTAGTACAGTATTTTAATATTTTTTTTGGAAGCCGCCCAGAGTGGCTGGGGAAGCCCAGCCAGATGGGCGGGGTATAAATAATAAATTATTATTATTATTATTATTATTATTATTATTATCCAGCAGACTCTTCTTCTGTTCTTATTGTCATACCATTCGTTCATCTAACCCCGCATTGTCTAAATTGTCCGGCATCAAGGTCTTTGGGGTTTCAGCTAAAAGTATTTTTCAGCCCTACCTGAGACTGTCTGCATATAAAACATGTCTACTACAGTGGTACCTCGGGTTACATACGCTTCAGGTTACAGACGCTTCAGGTTACAGACTCCACTAACCCAGAAATAGTACCTCGGGTTAAGAACTTTGCTTCAGGATGAGAACAGAAATCATGCTCCTGTGGTGCGGCTGCAGTGGGAGGCCCCATTAGCTAAAGTGGTACCTCAGGTTAAGAATAGTTTCAGGTTAAGAACGGACCTCCAGAACGAATTAAGTTCTTAACCTGAGGTACCACTGTTTGTTTTTTGTTTTTTGTTTGTAATAAAATGTCTCATCTGTGGCACCCATTTCTCCCCCAGCTGTCTGCAAATAGTGGCCAGACTGAGGTTCCCCAATGTGTTTGAAAACTAATAAAGAAGACAGACTGACATAGGATGAAAATAATAATAATAACAATACTGACAACAGTGACATTTTTATTATAATTACAGTTAATATATTGATTGCCTTCTAAACCACTGTCTCAATATGATTTAAATATGTGAGAAGTAGAAACAGTTAAAAACAGAAAAATAATGAGCCTGGGGGTGTAATGAAGGGGTGGAAGAGAATGAATTTAGGGGGTTAACTGAGTGAAAAAATGAATGAAGTCAAGTATCCAAGGAAAAGAATGGCGTTTTTAAAAATGAAAAAAGAAGGAAATGGAATTGTGCCAGTGTTTTGTTATGGGAAATGTATTTCAAAGGTATTAACTTTCCTCTTCAGTTGCTCCCACTTTCCCATCTTGGCCAGAGGCATGTTACCATGTGGCCCTCGGGTGATTGGCCACGGGTCAATGTGGCCCTCAACCACAAAAAGGTTAGCCACCTAAGAGATCATTTTAATTTAGATCCCAGCCCTTGGACTTTCCTGCATAAGGGCAGCCTCATCTCTTCCATTTGAATTGTTCACACAGTTCCTTGAATGCCATACGCAAGATAGGCATTTTACACTCCTCTACACCAGCATGTTTATTGATGCGATAAGCCTGCGCACTCTGCTGATAAGTAAATAGACCCGATTAAGTGCTTCAGCAGAGCACGAGAAAGCGCATTTACAACTGAATGAGAAATCCGTGTTCCCTGAACAAATATTTAAGATTCAAGTATACACTGGAAAGCTATTACCGGAAGCCAAACAAACAGCATACAGCACGCCTTTTAAAAACAACGAAAACACTTCGTTATCATTCAGCAGGTAGCAAATTGGACAATTGTTT